CCTAAAATGTTCTTCTAGAATCATAAACTTAAACTCCAAGTGGTTGATCTAACCGGCAAGAAGGTTTGTTTCCTTTATTGACTTATTGGTTTCAAACTTTAGTACTACCTACCATATTTATGACTTACCTTATAATATTAGATTTGTAAGATATTCAATGAATTCTGAAGATTAGTCGAAATAAAAATAAGCTGGTCTGAAGACATTGGTCATTGGAAAAAAAAAATCATAACTTATATATATGAGGTGAATTGATAAATTGCCCTTTTATGATTAAGATCAACGTTTGAATTCGGAAAAATAAAAGTAACAATGGGTGTTTTGGAAACCAAGGGTATTGTCCTTTTGGGATAGATTGAGGGTAAAAATGCTATTCAGCCTTTAAAATTATAATCGGTGACAAAAAAGTTAAAAAAATATAAAATGAGACAGATATTAACCACGTAGTCAACCTTCATGTTGATATAATTATATTAAATTTTAATTTAGTTTATACTGTATATGGATTGAATTTTATCATTTATACAAGTCTGATTTACTAAGAACAAGTGGAGCCTTTCTTCTTCTTTGAACTGGTCAAAGTCGTCGCAGTAGCTGCCTCGCGATGTCCTCCCTGCTCTCAATAACACAAGAAACAAACACTCTATATAATGCAGATAGAAAGAAACTTGCTTGTTGCAAATCATCACCAATATTACTCTGCTAATATCCTCTCCTTTGTTTCATTTCCTCAACTTTTTCCAGCCACTTTTGGAGACTTTCATCCCTTTTTGAAAGTCCTTTACGACTGTGTTTGTAGAGGAAAAACGAAACAGTTGATCGTCAATGGCTGAAGAAGCTGTTAAAGAGCGTACGTTGGAGGAAACTCCGACGTGGGCTCTTGCCGTGGTGTGCTTTGCCCTGATTGCTATATCGATCTTCATTGAAACATCTCATTCACATGGTGGGAAAGGTGAAGAAAATTACCAGTTATTCTTGATTCATTTTACCATATTCCAAGTGGTGGATTACTTTTTTTTTTTTTAAAAAAAAAAAAAAAAACTGAATTCAATATAACATAAAAACTGGATAATTTCTTTCACTCTTTTCTCAGTGGTTGATAAACACAAACGAGCCCTTTATGAAGCACTCGAGAAAGTCAAAGCAGGTAATTAACCATCTGTGCCTGCACGTCTTTCCAGTTTTTGTGTTCATTTCAGTGTAACGTGATCCTGGTAGAATTAATATCAGGACGTCCTAGACTAGAAAATTTCCTTTTTTTTTTTTTTTTTTTTTTCGGTTTAGTTTATTGAATTTGTTTGTTTCTTCGTGCAGAACTCATGCTCATGGGATTTTTATCCTTCCTGTTAACGGTTCTACAAGGACCGATTTCTGAAATTTGTGTTCCAACGAGCGTCGGAACACTTGGCATCCCTGCAGCGAAGAGATGGAATAAATAAAGGACGGCAAAAACGATGACAAAGCTGCGCGCAAAGCAAGAAAAAAATTGTTTCTTTTATCTTTGATCTTGTTCACATAGTAATTATCTTTTTAGATAAAGTTTCAGTCTTTTATGGTGAAATTGAATGTAAGTTACATGTTGCAGGGCGACAAAGTTGCTTGGTATCTGCATATGGTATCATCACTACACATTTTCATCTTTATAGGCTATTTTTCATATTGTCTACTGCATCACCATCTTGGCTTGGGAAGAACCAAGGTAAAATTTGCTTTCTCTTTCTCTCCTTTTTCTCCCTAATTATGTCTTCTTTTTTTTTTTTTTTTTTTTTTTCTCTCTCATATCTCTGAATGTTTTTAATATTACAGATGAAAAGGAAAGTCTGGGAAGATGAACAAAGACTTGAGTACGACTATAATGGTAATAATTAATTGTCCATCAAAATTAAAAATCATACTATAAATTATGTTACTGGGTGTTCAATGTTTTTAGCTGAGTAATTAAATTTATTAATTTATTCTACTGAAATAAGATTAACAGTTAGATATGAAGTCGCTTTCTTTTAGTTTAAAAGCTGATTCTTTGAAGAGATGTGGACATATTAATTAGGTGAAATATAAGGAGGTGGTCCGGCTCCAATTATCTTTGGTATCATAAATAACAATTTATCCACTGCCGTCGTGTTTCGTTAGATTTGAGAGTTTAACTTAACGGATTGAATGAAATGTGTTCCTCAGATAACAAAACACTAACAAACAGTGACTATAGGGAAAATCGTTATTTCAGAAACCTGAGGGAAGATTTTTTAGTTTATGATACTTGTGGGGAAATTTGTAATAAACTTAAATTATTTTTGCTGGGTTTTGTGTTGACTTTATGTATGTTAAATAATTAGGTGGAGTTAGTCCTGCGGAACCTTGCGCAATTATTTTGATTAAAAATCATATATTAATTAAAATTTAATTTGTTGACTTGTTTATTACAGATCCAGAGAGGTTTAGATTTGCAAGACACTCATTCGGGCGTAGACTTTGACTATGTGGAGCGAGTCATCATTTAGCCTGTGGATTGTAAGTACCAACTATTAATAAATTTTTATTTTTCTATTATATCAAATAAAAAAAATATTATCCAATCTCCTGTTTCATCAGGTTTGCTTCTTCAGACAATTCTTTGGATCTGTTCCAAAGTTGATTACCTCACATTGAGACATGGATTATCATGGTAACATAAAAGACCATTTTTTAATTTATTTATTAATAATTTCTCAATTAATTTCCAAAATGGAGCTCAATTTTTTATGTTAAATAATTGCAGGCACATTTGGCTCCTGGAAGTGAAAAATTTGATTTTAATAAATACATCAAGCGATCACTTGAAGAGATTTCATAGTTGTGGTGGGGATCAGGTTGGTACTACTGTCTCAAAATGTTAAGCCTATAAATACATCTCTTTATATATTTTGTTTTTTTCTGCAAATTTCTAACTTTTGTTTTGTTTTTGCAGTCCTATTCTTGGTTTGTTTCAACGTTGTTCCTGCTCACCAACACAATGGTAATTTTGATCAAATTTCAATTTGCTAATGATTTTTATACTTTTCTAAGAGATTTGACATAAATGCTCTTTCTTTTGTGAACAGGATGGTTTGCGTATCTTTGGTTACCTTTTATCCCCTAATTGTAAGCACCAAACACAATTATCCATATTCAATTATTATTAAAAAATTTATGTTACTTAGAGGATATTAATCTGAACTGGAAATTTGCAGATAATCCTGTGGGTGGTGCGAAGCTACAAGTAATAACTAACTGGGGCTACGGATTCAAGAGAGAGGCGATGTGGTGAAGGGTGCGCCGGTGGTGAAGCCAGGCGACGATCTTTTCTGTTTGGACGCCCACTTTCATCCTCTTTCTCATTCACTTGGTTCTCTTTCAGAATGCATTTCAGCTCGCCTTCTTCATATGGAGTCGGTAAGCATTGTTCAGAAAAAATGAGGGCTTTGATATATACGTATATATATTTTCTCCTAAACATTTGATTTATTTTGCAGTATGAATTTACCATAAAATCTTGCTTCCACACAGAAAGAGGAATTTGTCATCAGAATCCAATGGGGTGAGTTTCATTAAAATGACAAAGAAATTATGCAGCTAGTTTAGGCCATTTCACAAATTTCTGTAATTTTTCTAACACAAAGTGGTTTATGCCTTCAGGGTGCTTATACACATTGTCTGCAGTTATGTGACACTGCACTCTATGCTTTAGTGACACAGGTGAGAAAAAAAAAAAAAAGATTTTCATTAGGAAAAGTAGCCAGTTTCTGATCTATCAATCAACTTATGTTGTTTTATTGATTCTGCAGATGGGTACTTCAATGAGACCGACTATCTTCAACGATCGAGTAGCAGCAGCACTAAAAAACTGGCATCACACCGCAAAAAGAAACACAAAACTGGCAAACATTCTGCGGCGACAACACCCTTTTCCAGCAGGCCACAAACTCCAACTCATGGAATGTCCCCAGTTCATCTCTGCATAACTATCCTAACCGCAGCGTGGCAGCTACCATCCTTCGCCCCCGAGACCTTCCACTTCGATAACGAACGATGGGACCCCGAGAGCCTCCATTCGCATTCCCCTAACCAATGAAATCAAGTGTTTCACCACCATGGAGATTCAGGTGCCGTGAACAAGAAATGGTGGTCATGCCAAAACCAAGCTCAATGCAATTGCCTCCGGGACCTGGCCCTATTCGGACGCAACACGAAATCAGTGTGGGTCGATCGGAATTTTCATTCGCGAAGTGATTTAGCTGATAAGATAGATTTGGATTTACAGGTCCCAAGTTGATAGTCATTATCATGTGTTCATTTCTTGTACATGACATAACTCGGAGCCTAGAGCCTGCATAAAAATAACCTAAACTGTTATTTTCATTTTGTGCATTTTTCAGTTAATAGTTCTTTTAATTAAACTTTTCTGATTTACATATTGTAAATTTGCTTTGGCCTTTGTCTTCATCAGACATTTCAATATTGGGTTAAATATCACTTTAATTTTGATGAGATCTGGGAAAGCACATGTAAAATCATATACAGTAAAAAGAAAATTGAAATAAAAGTATATTATTCAATTTAATGGTTTTGATATGTTTATATTATATCATGTTATTTTTTTCTCAACTATAACACGAAATACAACTTTATATTATAAAATTTATTAAAAATATTTTAAAAACTATACCAAATATCATTAAATAATTATAATATTGATTAAATACATAATTATCTTTTTAAAAAAACTTATGATAATTGCTTCTTTATTATTATTATCTTATCTTGTTTCCCTTTCAACTAACAACAGATCACGTCGTGAGTCGTGACTGTATTACGTTATTTACTTAATTAATTAATAAATAAATAAATAATTAAAATATGCTGACTAACACTCACCGCCACTGATCAATAAAAAAATAATTATTAATATTTAAAAATTAAATAAAATAGAATTAAATTTTGAGAATATTAAAACAAATGCCATCAATAATATAAGATAGGTAAGTCCTAAAATTTGCTGGTCTCTCTCTTTAAAACTAAACCAAACAACAATATAACTCGTCATCATTAACGACAATAATCATCCACCGTTTGATTGGTGATCGTAATCGTGATCATGGAGGTGCGTCCAAATCAGACGGTCTATGATTCATCGATCCATCAGCGACATGTACCTGCCGCTGCATCCAAGCAGCCTGTAGCTGCTCCGAACACTGTCGATTCAACATCCGTTTCTCAGAGGTTATTTCTTTCTTCACTGAATTTTCCATCAATTTACCAAGAATTTTCTCAGCTCTTTGTTTGGTTCGCGAGAAAACTAGGAAAAAGAAAATTATATATCTTGTGTTTTTGTTTCCGGATAATTAGTTAGTGAGTTAGTTCTTTACTGAATTTTCCGTTTGGTTCGCGAGAAAACTAGGAAAAAAGAAAATTATATATCTTGTGTTTTGGTTTCCGGATTATTAGTTAGTGAGTTAGTTCTTTACTGAATTTTCTGTTTTGTTCGCGGAAAATTTCTGAGCTCTTTGTTTCGCACGAAAACTAGGAAAGGAAAAAAGAAAAAAAAAGAAAAGGAAATTCTATATCTTATGGTTTAGTTGTTGGACGAGTTGTTGGTTAGTTAGTTAGTTGCTAATTTTCTGTTTATTCCTGAGAAAGCTTAGGAAAATTTTGGAAGTAAGAGATTGCAGAAGACAATCATGATTATCTTATTTTTATTTTTTTAACTGGTTGAAATAGTGACGGTAAGTACTAATCTTGTCTCTGTTGGTTCTCGAGAAATTATTGAAAAGATACTAAGCGTGTGATTTTTGTGTATTGATATTTTTTTTTCTTGGCTTTACTGCTCTTTCTCATAAAAAGAAAAAGAAAAAAAAAGGAAATTAAGAAGAAATATTGAGGTTTAGTCAGTGGTGTTTCTTTTTTATAACTTGTTTGTAGCTCAATTATACTATTTCATGGTTTTTATCTATACTTTTTGCAGGCTGCAGAAGGAATTGATGTCGCTAATGGTATGTCTTTTTTTTTTTTTTTTTTTTTTTTTTTGTTACTTGCGTTGTGTGTAATGTTGTGAGACAAATCTAGAAGTGATTTACCTGTTTTAATTTCTGGTTTGTAACCTTGATTGATATATATACTTCATTCTTAAAATATATTTAATTTACTGTCATTTTGAATTTGGTTGTGAGTTTTGTAACAGAAGCATCTCTTTCTTGATCTGACAAGAAACCTGGCGATTATGTCTGCTGTCATCATTTCATTTAGTTTCTAATGTTCTTTATACGTGCAGATGAGTGGAGGAGACCTTGGAGTCTCAGCTTTTCCTGAAGCCGAGAGCATTTTCACTTGGATTGGCACAATTGAAGGCGGGAAAGGAACCATGTATGAGGGTTTGTCATACAAACTTTCTTTGCGGTTTCCCTTGGACTACCCTTTCAAGCCACCCCAGGTCAAATTTGAGACTATGTGCTTCCATCCAAATGTTGATCAGTTTGGCAACATATGCCTTGACATCCTCCAGGTATTATTCACCTTTATAAAAAAGGTTCTTGTTGAAACTATGTGCTAATAAACTCCATGAAAATGAGAGAAAATAAATGCCTTAATCTGTTTCAGGAATTTTGGGCAGATTATCTTTGATGATCTTATGGACTTCTGTATCCTGATTGAGATAATATCGGTTGGACACAACAATCATTGATTTGTATATAAAACTTATGACATAGAAGTGTTTCAGTCAATCTTTGTGTAAGAGATCAAAGTATTTAAAGAGTTTCACTTCCATCTCGGGTGAAAGTTCAAGGAGATATTTCTATGGTGTTGTCCAAACCCAAAAAACATGTTGAATTCCTGGAATGTTGTGGAAGTTTAGTATCTTTTGAAGTGGCATACTATCCAATTTAACACTAGTATATTGTAGGAGATGGTACCACCATTTGTTCACTGTACTTTCTTAGTTTTGCATATGTTTTATTGTATGGCATTGGATTCTTTATGTTCTGTTTTAAACATTTTTCTCTGTGAAGTTAATTAAATTATCTTTATATGTTGTCATAGGACAAGTGGTCTTCGGCTTATGATTGCAGAACTATTCTTTTGTCCATTCAAAGTCTATTAGGAGGTTTGCTTGCTCTTCCCTACATGTTTTCATCACATAACTGATGTTCTTGTCTTGCCTAACCATTAGTTCTCACTTGCAGAGCCTAACCCAGAGAGTCCTCTCAACAGCTACGCCGCAGCTCTTTGGGGCAACAAGGAAGTTGGTACATTTTTTATCTTCATCATCTTGTATATTTTAGGGGTATTTTTTTAATTTAAATATAGCATTTTAAACGGAAATGAGCTTTAAGAACATTTTCTTGTTCTTTTTGGATCAATCAAATAAACTTCAAATTTCCAAACCTCCTAATCATTTAGTGTATGTAGATTCTGTGTTATTAAACGCTTGGAGAATTTTTAAGGTTTTTGTGTGCAAATCAGAACCTACTTTTGGTTTGCCTTTTTTTTTTCATGAGTTTGCATTAGGTAATAAAAAGTATCTATGTTATATACATTTTTTCAATTTTTTTTTTTTTTTAATTTTCTCGGTTTTCCTCTTTATTTATTCTATTTATTATTTTTTTTCTGGCAGATATAGAAAAATGGTTCACAAACAGTATTATGTGGAGAAATAATTGAGAGCTAATCCGAACGGCGGAAGGACAAGGAATGTAGATTTAAATAGCCATGCAGCGTCTGTGTAAAGCTCAAGTAAGGGTTTGATTCCATTTGGCATTTGGTACCCATGTCTCAAGAATATCGACCTATGAATTCACATCATTGTTAAATGGTACATATTCAATTACACAAGGGAAATTATATCGCTCTTTCTATTTATCAATGAGTGAATATTTTCCTTTTGTAATTGCAAAATAAAGTCTACATAATGTCGCAAATTAATTTAATGGGGCTTCTTGTTTCGTATGATATCGGGCACATTTAAAAATTGTTAGCATTTGATAATTTTTAGAAATTGTAAATGGTTATTCTCTCCCACCACGGTGACTTATTGTGCCACCAAAGTCAAGTGTGTATTTATTGTAACCCCGTTGATGCAACCCACATTTTTATGTTATTTATTACATTACATTATATTTTCCTTAAGCTTTAGTTTATCTTCTTTTAAATGATAGGAAGACAATTTGATCAATTTGGTCAATAAATAATATTATAAATGATATAATAACTAAGCCAAAAGCATGAAAAATTAACTACGCCCTGAAACGACAGTATAGAGCAGGACATTTCACAAAGATAAATATGACAATACTACGGCCTTGCTCTATTCCTAAAAATTAGAAATTGAATATTTCATGTTCTGATTCACTTGATGAGAATTAAAATGCAATTGAATAAGACTCTCCTAAAACTATTCTGGTTATCTTTCGAATTAGTATCGTTCCTTCAATATTGTCTTTCAACTAGTCCCAAGGGACCTATTTTTAATAATTCGAAATCTTTTCTCGAATTGGCAATCCTAAAAAGATTGATACATGCAAGAAGTTTAAAAGCTTGATAAATTTTCCCAACCCAACTTTTCTTTTAAACACCACCAGATTTTCTCCATAAAGAATTTACAAGAACGAAAAGTAGAAGTGTCTATCAAACTATGTGTGCAAGTACAGGCACCTGGCAAATAGGGCAGGCGTTCTTCATTGACAGCCATTTCTCGATGCATTCTACATGGTAATCATGAAGACAGTTCTTCACTGTTCCGATCTCATAATTGTCATTGTAGTCTTCCTGTGAAACAAAATAGAAAGCAATGTTAATATAGATCAAAATGAATTAAGAAAAAGCATCTACAAGATCCTAACCATAAGAGAAGCCTAGTTAAAAACAATTTGCATATGTAGTGTCTCTTATCACAAAATTGCATCGACAATCATATGATAATTCTAATCATATTTAAGCATCCAAATAAATTGTGTTAGAAGCTTCACAAGTCATAACTATCTTATAACACCTGTAGATATTATGCTTTTGAATCTCAAAAGCTAATCCGATCATTTTCTCGGTAATGAGGGCAGGGAAATTATTTCTTACCAGGCAGATGGCACAGGTTCCTTCCTTTTTGTTTTCATCCAGATTAGAGTATGATGTCTTTGCTAAGCACTTTGAAATTCCATATTTGGACAATCCAGTGCTCACATTCCCTATCCTTTCTCCGAGAGCTAGTAGTTCCTGCATGCAGCCAGTGATCAGTCTGGATAAAATAATTGAACAATAACAGAGAACAGTGTAATATCAATCAGATCAAAGTTACCTCGTAACTCATGTTGTCTATGTCTAGCCTCATGTCCCTATACTGGTCAAACATATTTCTCGTAGTATATAAGGATGAGTAATTCACCATTATTTGGTTCTGCAAAGATATAAGACAAGTATGTCAATAACAAACAAAAAGCATGCAAAGCATAATTACTACACATATCAAATAACATGATAACATCGTCATCAGCATCTAGTATCTCTGAAATGGCAATTCCCAAATATGTTTGGCATGCCTCAACTCCCTTGAGCCCATTCAAATGCCACTGCTACTGGAGTATGTTTTATCAAATGAAAATACATAAATAGATTTATGAAACTGTTGGCCCAAACAAAATGGCATTCCAACAATGCCATACATCATGTATCCTAGCATGATTCTTATTATCAACATATCTGGAAAAGAAGTCTGGATAAATGTGTATTTTATTTATAGTATAGAGATAAAGGCTACAAATGTATATAGCACTTCAACTGCTAAATTATGTAGGAGCATGTATAACAATTAGATACTTATCTGCAAGGCCTATTACATCAGGGACACATAAATAATAAGATGCTAAAATCATGAAGCTCGAGGCTCCATTATATTCCCATGAGCACACATCTCATGCAATCAACAAATATATAAATAAAAGGCAACTTACCTCAGACCCCACTTGGTGATGTGCATGTGCTGCATTTGGCAAAGGTTGAACACTCTCCAAAGCTACCCTTGACCGTATGTCCCAGTGATTACTATGCCGGCCTCCAGCAGAAAATGGTGCACAATGAGAAGAATAAGATTCCAGGAGATACTGCAGACCATTTTCTGAGGGAGCTGTTCCTTGTCCCCAATGAGCGGTACTTAGACCAGTTCCATATGAAGGAATAGTTTGTGGGTAACTATTGCAGTCCTGCCTTACAGCCTGGGCATGGAGACCAAGAAGTTGACTTGGGGGAAAAAGCGGATTTCTGTTTGAATTGGAATCATGGCTGTACCCAGCAATTCCTCTGGCAGAATTATGATTGATCCAAGGTCTGACGGCAGAGCTTCCTGCATTTTTTTCAAGTTTCTTAGATATAGCAAACAAAATGTATATATAAGAATCAGGACAATTTGCACTGACCCAAAGTTTGAAAACTTCCATGTGCAGCAGAAAATGCAGCAAAATGGTTCTGATTGTAGGCAGTTGCATCTGCATTTGAATAATAAAGAGGTCTTGAATAATAATGATGATAAAAACATTCTGATTGGTATGTTCTCCTTGGATCGACTTCCAAATCAGGTCCATATCGCCTTCTCACATTCCTGCAAGGGTCGTCATTGTGAATTGAGAGGCTGAGACCCCTATCTTGAGGTAAGCCCATGGAACTGAAAGGATAATTTTGATAACTTGAACTTGGTTGCTCAGGCTGAAACTCAAAACGGTTAGAGGAACTTCCTGCACCATAATAGTGTCTGCTTGTGCTGCCTCTCTCACAGGCCATATACGTTTCATGCCTTCTTCTTTTCAGTGGTCCTCTTCCAGTGGCACCAGTGTGATCAAGTGTACCACTCACAACTTTATGCGAAGTGTGCAAGTTGGAGCGATCAGAATAAATCTGGAAAGCAGTTTCTGCTGCTGGATAAAACCTCCCACAAGCTGGAAATTGTGAGGAAAAATCATAAGATTGGCATGAAAGAGGAGCATGCTGATTTGGACCCTCAAATATAAGACTGGATGAAGAATGCACAAATGGCCTGAATTCCAAGTCTCGCTGTGAGGCAGAGTATGGTCCATGTGTTTGAATATTTTCCATCGGATAAATAGAACCAATTTCTGGAGCAGCAGCTCTTCCTGCCATGCCACATACAGAATAAAAAACAGTCCTTCAGTAGCTATAATAATCATAAAATGATTCAGAGACACCAATAACATGTGGAGATTTAGTAAATGCTAATGCTAAAATTTGAAAATATAGTTCAAATTTCATATGGACCACAAGTAAAATTCTCAAGTTCATCATATTGACACCAAAAGCTGAGAGCACCATAATCAGTAAATTTGACAAATCACCAAAGGAAAAAAAGATCATTTAGTGAACTAAGTACAAACAAAATCAATCAAAAATTCAAGTCTCCAGATGCATATGAGAAGTTGAGAACATTAGGCTATTTTACCACTTTGGGGCTGATGATGGCCTTTCTCAAAAGCTTGTGATATGTTAGATTGATGTCTACGTTCCATAGCCCTTTATGGTACAAGCTTCAGGTTGTCAATCCAGAGTAAGAGCTCACCAAACTGCACAAGCGAAAACCATCCTTGGACATTAGCCCCAGCTGTAACCTTAATTGATACTCATAAGACCAGTAAAAAATATATAAAAAAGAAAGAAAGAAAGAAAGAAAGAGACCACTATGAAAACATGTTATAGAAGACTATCGTGAATGGAGAAATGAATTTTTTTTTTTAAAAATCACCCAAATAATTAGAAGAGCAGACTTTGATGACCACTATAAACAGATGTATGAAAGGATATGTAAGACAATAGACAAAATAAAATCACATAACATGAAGTTCAACATTTGTACTGCAGATTGTCTGAAATTTAGAAAGCATGCATTTATTAAAAGAAAGGAACATTGATAAAGGTTAAGCTTTAAAAAGCATATCAATTAAACTTTTACTTTCTTTCTCTTGAAGAGGTTGACTGAAGCAGCTTAACTTAACAAACACGGAAAAAATAAACATCTATATCATAATACTAAAGCAGATGCCCCACACTCAAGCTTAAGTGGCTAGTGATAGGGGTTTGAGATAAATTTTGGACAAATCTTATCAATTAAAAACAGAATAATGAGAAATCCAGGCCATAGAAAAAAACAATGTCAGTAAATATCAAGAGATCAGAGAGTATATTCGCTTCAAACGCAGGGGAAAACAGAACATTATATCATGTTAAAATAATCATCTCAGTAAGAGATTACTGTCAAGAGAACAATAACCTGACCACAGCCTTCTCACAATACTGCATCCTAGAATATTCACCACCGCAAATGACATGCACCTTGGCGCAAAGAGTAATGTTGGATTCACCTTAGTCATAATGCAACTTAACGACATAAATATGGCTAAAATCTCCAAGGTAGCAAGATACATGTTTGATTTGTTGTCACAGTGCAAAAAGAGATTCCATGATTTTCCTTCATATTAAGGTAACATATTTCTAGAAACCGCTATGCTCACCAAGTGAAAATATTGGTTTTAAGCATGCTATTGCATTAGTATATTCAAATAATCTTGACATGAACACAAGATAGGAAATTCAAAATATGTTCCTCCACTGAGCGGTAAGGCAAAAGCGCCTGCTGTTAAACACCAATTTTGTAATTCAGATACATGCTACAAAGATGAAAGGTAAAACTATCAATCTGCCAAATAATGGGTAACCCTTCTGGTAGTTGGTAACCAACTAATTCTCACCAGAAAATATGTGAATGAATAGAAACACTGTGTCCCTTCACAGGAATTATTGGAAATAAAAAATTATAAAACTACAGAAAGAGCCAGTGAGTCAACATATCCTAATTATTTGAGCATGTGTTACAATGTCCAGAAATCTTGTTCCTACAGTAAACAAATAATTAGACAACAGAATAAAGCAGAGTTGCCAAAAAATTGCCAGTAGTTCTATGCTACATCTTAAAAAAAAACTGTTTAGTTTAACATACTCTATAGAATGCAGGGCAAGAGAGTCTAGTCGGAAGCCAATTCCTCCTTCACCTGAGTCTGCAGATAAACAAAAAACTTGAAAACCAAATGATGTTTCAGTTAAACCCATTCAAGAAACAACACTATCAAAAAGGGTATAGCAACGCCATACATGAACAGGTACTAAGTCGGCTGCCTAAATCTACAAAAGGGTAAAGAAATCCTAGAGAACGTAAGAAAATTATGAACAACATGTATGTCTTCATGAAGCCCTCAAAATTAGCAAGTTAATGATACTGAAAAACCATGATCACAAAAAACTCCAGACAAAATTATTATGAATATCACATAGTTTGTTACAGCAAAGAGTCTCATGGTTCCAAGGAAATGACAGGCATAATTTACACATGAAATGCAAGACCTCTCATAACTTTGTTCTAAGAAAGCCAATTTCACATCCTAATTAATTTAAGAAATCCATACAAGTGACAAAAATAATGTCATCTTATGAATGATTTATTTTCCACTCCCTCAGACTTGTTCTGTTGACATGATTTCCTTTCAATAAATAATTACCTATTCCCATAGCTAACTGACAGTATTTTCTTTTCTTTATTTGCAGAAAAATCATCACAACTTTAGAAATAGCTTTGTTCCTCACAGCAATTTTACCAATCTCGAAGCACATTATTAGTTCACTACAAAAAATCAGCTATCATCCAAATTCTACTATTAAGCATGATTTGCCATGTAATCAGCTAACTATGTCAAGAATAAGTTGTGGTCACCACAGCGCAGTAATGTGGTTGCAAATCTATCATTTCCCAAAGGTACATTTATAAAATCAAAACTATGAAAACTACTCAGCATAATTGTACTGAGACCTGATATGAAGACACAATGGGTTGCATTTTCTGCAATGTAAACCTATATTAGTCTCCATTTCTGTGAAATATCTGAGTTGTATAGCCTCTGGAGCATTAAATCAAAATAGTGTAACTCTTGAGACCATCTCCATTCCTGTTTTACCTTCATCTTTAGCTTCACTAAAAATCTTTTCACGATGACAGATATGCAAAACCAAGCTTTGCCCTCTCCCCTCCCACTTTTTTACTTTTTTTGGCTAACAAAGCAACTGTTATATGTAGAGAATTGATTTACTTTACGCAATTAGCACATACAACAGTCAACGCAAGACAATTCTTTATCCAAAAGCTGGACAAGTCTGAACAATCTTTTAGAGAAAAGGGACTTTTATTAGAATCAAAAAAAGTACATTTACAATAAGTGAGGAAAACATGTCCTCCGGAAGAAAAATTACACACACAGTGAAGCTTTTATTTAATAATTTTGCGTTACAAACCTCTTTCAATGAGGAATGAGGAAAAACAGTCGATTCTGAACAGCATGTATACCAAAGACAATTAAGAAAGAAACCCCAAATTCCCCACATGGTCTTGAAAATCCATCAACATCTATAATCATCATTTCAAAGGCCTTAGGAAGATCTAACTGACAACTGTATCATTCCCCTCTACCCTAATTTTAAACAGCCTCTCAAGGTCCTCAAATCAAATTCTATAAATAACAATTTTGAAGAGTCCACCAGGACCTGTAAAACTAAAGAAGATAAAAAAAAAAAAAAAATAGGAACAAGTTTCTTCTCTTTATACTAAGCACCAACTTTGCGAGGCCCAGGTTAGGAATTTGGCACCAGCAAACATGCAAAGGAAGTCCAAGAAATTTTACATGCCACAAACAGCACAGCCTTAACAACGCTTAATGAACGTTTTGCATTCGTTAACTTAAATGAGAAGTTTCGTTCACGATGTTATGTGGTCTGTACCTAGCAAATCCCACAATAATGCAACAATCTAGCTCAAACCTTAATACTTCAACCTTGGCAGCTAGTCAAGTGTGTATGCTTTTCCGTCAGAATCTCATTATAATAAACAGCTATCTCAACTTATCTTCCCAATTCTCACTACAGGAGTGCAATAAATTGATCAATCATACAGAAATTAACAAGCTTGTCTAACTCATCATATCATATCAGAACCCAGAAACCTTTGTCAACCTTTGACTTTCATGCAACTTAATAACGTCTTGAATTGCCAAAAAATTATCCTTCCAAAAGAACCGAAAAAAGAAAAAAGAAAAGCAGTGAGCATTTATATCAAATCGTAAAATTCCAACTCTCAAGCAAAAAAATTTACAATCATAAATAAAAACTGGTTCAACAATCACCATAATAAGATCGATTACAACAGATTGTGCACTCGGTATTCCTTACCTTATTTTCAAACACAAGATGTGTATATATAAAAATAGTCACGGAGAGCATCATGATACACATTATGTTGCATAACTGTGCACGTAACATAAAATTGACATCCACAACAACAGTTTTCTCTGTTTATATACCAAATTCTAAAACAAGAGGACTCCATTACTTCAAAAAATCATCAGAAATCTCCTTCGAAATAATGAAAATCATCGTAAACCTTAACAATGTGAAAGACCTGTTCTGAAATTTTAGGTTAAGATATGACGTCTCCGCCTCATTTCTCACATACACATACAACACCTTAAAACTATTGCCTGTATATCACGTAAAACGTGAAGAACACCAAAATCAAAAGGTCAATCACAAAATAAAAAACAATTCCGCGCGAAATAAAAGAATTTATCGTACTCACGTGGACGTAATCTTCAAAATATAAAACAAATATTACCGATCAAATTGAGAAAAATCTGAAATTTTGTGTTAACAGAGATCGATTGATCTGCCATTCGTTTTGATCATCAAAATTGTGAGAGTTTTTACCTGGAAGCAAACCTTGACTATTTGATTCAACTTTGACACGAGACGGTCAGAAGATCCGACAGCGGAGACCAGAGGAGAAGGATGAAAAATACAATTACAAGTGGCTTTTTGATTTTCCGATGAAGAACAGGATAGATAGTGGGGCCTTTTATATTGAATATAAAATTTTGAATAGGCGGGTCGTTAAAGTCGGATACGGAAAGAATGTATGAGCCTAAACTATAGGCCGTTAGATTTTGATTTGAAGGCTGTTGATTTCGATCAAATCTAAGTACGCGAGGGTGCTTTAGGTATTTGAGGACAAGGTGATGCGCTGTACTTAAAGGACGTTGTTGAATTGTGTGCAGGCTGCACAGCAGATTTCTTTATTCGTGTTTTAAATGAAGGAAAACTTGGAAAGCAACTCCCGAACTCCGGGTACTAATACGTGTCTGTCTTGATTCGCGGTCAAAGAATGTACGAAAATATATATTATGTAATTTTTTTATTTTTTCGAATAAGATAATACTGTTCAAAATATAAAATTATAAATTTTAGAAAAAGCAATGTTATTGTATGTATCTAAAGTATGGGAACACAGAGATTAAATTTATGGAAAAAAAATAAATAGAAATTTTTAGAAATATATAGAGATTTAATTCAATAAGCATTTTGTCCATATTCCATAGAATGGCTGTTATTAAAATCTTAGACTATTACCATTGACTGCCCCGAAGGTAAATTCAATTTCATTTGTTCAAAGAGATGTTCACACAAGTATGCGGTGTCAACGGCCTCAAACAAAACCAAAAAAAAAAAAAATAAAAGAGAAAAAAAAAAAAAAAAAAAAAAAACAGATAATAGACATATCTAAGGGCACTTTTTTCGGTTCTATTCTATAAATATTGAGCAAGGGCACAGATGAGATTCATTGCGAGATACCACGACTTATAAAGTGGCAACATTTGTACTATGAGGGCCATAGTCCACGGCAAATTGCAAAACAAAACTGTCCACCAGAATCTAGAAAGAAAGATTTATCTCCGAACACCGCACAACATCTGAGGTTTGTCAAGGTATGAACACTTTTGCATTGGTCATTTAGCTTTAATCGTCAGTTCTCACGCTCTCAGACATTCTCCGAAGCATCATCCTTTTTGGACTCCTCTATGCTCCGTGCGGTGGCTAACTTCTCAGTTGCCAATCTTTCCTCCAGTGCTCTAGCCCCTCTTTCTCTGCAAGCGAATGTCAATGCGAAATCAGAAACTACAAAGTCCATCGCTTTCCCTCCCAAAAACTATCTTTAGGTAGAATTACCTAACTTTTTAGGTTGGGCAAACAGTACTGTAGTTCTGTTCTAAGCAGTAAGCAGCTAGTTGTTTTCTATAAAATTCGTTGTATTTGTAGTAATTTTTCACAAGCACTCTCCAACCAGGTCAAAAACCTACTTTTTATATATATATGTCCTTTTATGCACACAAATCGGATTGTGTAACATTTTGTATAGTTTCCAAATGAAATTGACGTATTTATCATAGCTCCAAGACACCAGAAACGTTACCTTCTCCTTGATGCCTCAATAGGGTCAGAACCAGGCAAAGGGGCACCTCCCAAGGTATGACCATGACCATCACTAGAATTTTCAGATCTTCCACAGAGCATCCGATGAAATATTGATGCAATGGGATCGATAACTGGTCTGCTTGGAAGTAGAAAGGAACATTAAAGAGTGACATGGATTAAAGACTTAAAGCGAATTGTCATGAGATAAAGATACAAACAGGAAAGAACACGCATACCTAAGAAATTCAGGGAAGAAAGAAGAGAATGCAAAATCATCACTTGGATCACCCCTAAGTTTTGTTTCTGGTTTTCCCTGCATGTATCTCAGGTAAATCCAGCCGATATATGTGCCAAATATTAAGGTTGGAAGATATGCCGCTGACTCTGCTGTCAAGAAGCTAATAACAATGGATAGCAGAAGCATAAGAGATGGCAACCACTGCAAAATATGGAAAGAGGATCAGGATGAGAATGTGAGAGGCATCTCTTTAACTTGCAGAAATTCCTATCTGTTAAAAAATTGTGCACCTTTGCTTTTATTTTCAATAGAGACAGCTCCTGGTCAGGTATGATCTGCTTGATGCCAACCAAAAACCCAGCAAGAATCCCATGGAAGCCAGAAACAGGCATGTAGCTTCACAAAGAATAAAGAGAATAAGCAATTACAAATCCAGAAAAAGGACACCAGAAAATAAAATATAAAATAGTCCAGGTATAAAATATTATTACTAGTTTGAATCCTCAAAACATCAATAGTTTGAATCCTCAAAACATCAAATAACACGCAATTGATAAAATTATGCAGGAGTGCAGATTGATTTTTGTAGATTGATCTAGGTTTATCCTTAGGCAAATTATTGTATTACAATTTAAAAGAAACAAACTGCAACATTTATTGCCAGTCTGCACGTCAGAGGCAAAGAAACATCAATAGTCAAATTCAATATCTTGTTTCTTCTATCTCTATGCCACCATATGGAGTAAAAGATTGGTTAGATATGCCAGAAAATAACATTAAAACACAGAGGAAGACAGAAAAGGTAATTATTGAATGGAAAAGGCTAACATAGTACGTACAGGTAACTCTCCTCCCTTGTTATGTAGTACAAGGCGATTGCAGTAATGAAAACACATACAGAAGTTAGAAAGTTAACTATGAAGATGAACTTCAGGAACTCCTTAGAACCCCACACAGGTTCAAGCAACTTCCCCATGAAGAGGAGACCAAGGGTGCTGACCACCACCTAGAAAACCAATGACCATTATTATCACTTTATATAGATAATAAGAAGAAAAGAGACATTTGGGAAAGTAAAATTAAGCAGACCAGGTAAATATTTTACAGCAAAAGAATGGCATACCCCATGCACTGTTTGCTCAATGTAACCAGCTGTTAAGAGATTCCAAGCAAAGGGAATTGTCCTGCAAATAAACATTTAGTCATTGATTACTTGAAACCTAAAGCGCTGCAATTGATATCATTCTCCTCCTTATTTCCAAAGGAGGGTATGGGATAATCAACTGTAGATCTATTCTCCTTTGGGTTACATATATCACATCACCGAAAGAAAAGGGTAGTTAATTTGCAAAACCATTCCTCCTCAACAAATTACAACAGAAAAAGATTTCCAAGGAAAAAACCATAAGAGTCTGACATCCTTTACCCAGGAAATCATGAATTTACATCACGATCAACCATACAAACAGGAATCATATTACATAAGTTGATTCTTATTTTCTCATGTATTAGACATAAGCATCCCTTCTAATTAAGATTGGCATTGAGTCCAAAACCTCAGAAATCAATCTTTAAAAACATTTCTTTATCAATTACTATCCTAAAATTTATTAAAGACCTCCACTTTCTGCCTGTATTTCAAACCAAGCAAGTTCACTACAAGCTGACTTTTCTTCATATATTGACTTCTATGAAGTTCTCTCCAGCAGCTAATAAAATTACAACAGAATCAATTAAACGAAGAAGCGTTGCACATCTTTAAAATATAAGCTAGCACAACTAGCTATACTTTAACTTATAATAACATAAATTTATCATCAATGCTCGTTACCTTTAACAACTGACAATCACTTCAATTCGAATTCATAATCAGATTAAGATTTACTAAAAACCTAATTCAAAACTTCACAAACAGATCCAAAATGAGCTTACCTAGCAGGAATCAGAGCAAGAACAGAAACCGCCGCAGGTAAAACCTGAACTAAAATGTGGCCGCAGACAAGCACCACCGCTATTCCCTTGCAAAGCTTAGTAAATCCAGTGAACAAGCCCGCGCTCTGCAACATTAAAGCAAAACACTTGGAAAATCAATAACAAAACAATTTCATTCCCAAAAAAAATTTTGAGATCTGATTGGAGCGGAACTTACTGCCGGAGAACTCATGATTGAACGGTGGGCGTTAATTCGGAAGTATACGGCGTTGATCTAACGAGTTCGATTAGTTTGAATTTCTTTCTTATTTTCGTATATTTAAATAACTTAAGGGGAAGGGAAGGTCGTTGTACGGTTTTTTCAGATCGCAGAGGGCTGGGCGGAGAGAGTAAGGTATATTTGTGATAATAATGTAATATAAACGCCTTGTCTTTTACGTCGTCGTTTGACTTAAAACTTTCTTTTTTTAATTTTATCTAATGCGATTTTTTTCCTTTAACTTTTACTAATACTTGATTTTGACAATAACTAATCACACATGAGAAATGCTAAGCGGACTCAGAAGTCCCACGTGATTATGAAAGTATTTAGCTTAATAAAGGGTGAAGAGCAATGTTAAAAGTGGTTTGGATGCTCATAAGGCGAATCCTACGTCCATTGATATTGTATTAATGAGTAAAATCAAGTCGCCTTCAGTGAGCTGAATTACAGCTTAGAGAATACAAGAGAGAGAGAGAGAGAGAGAGTACTATTCCAGAGTGAAATTAGCCAATCCCACAAATGGGAAAGAAGTCTTCTATTTATAGTGGGATGAATCAAGGTAATGATTACTAAATCTGCGAGTGGGATAGATGCCACGCAAATCCTTCCTTGTGTCCTATTGCTCATCTGCCCGAGTAATTTCCTCAACTTATGCAAGGATTGGACACGTGGACCTTTTCCAACCATTTGCCAACCTGGCATACACCCACTACACACGCGACGTGGCTGCATCTGAGCGGTTGCAGAACCTTCTTAAACTCTGACCACCCATGCTGATAAAACTCTACGTCAGCCCCATGCATAACAAAAGTCCCATAGTTTTTAAGGTTTGAGAATCGAACCTTAAGAATTTCATAAATATGCCTTGATTTGACATGTTCTGAATGACGCCCGATCGATCCGACCTGGCTGCAAGGAGCTCACAAAACATTTCCATATAGACGACCTAAAATGGTCTCCTTCCGCAAGGTCTATGACTTGAACCAGACCTCATTCAGTGTTTATATTAATGCGCCTTTTATCTTGATTGTTGCATTGCTTTGCAACAGTCATGCGACGAAGAGTGTTTTATCTAACGACCTCTTCAGATGTTATCCGTTGTGCTTCGGCAGCTAGTCTATTAATGAAATACCTTTTGCTCTGACAGATGTGTCTTATGCGCAATAAATGTCAGCCATGCGCATTAAATGTAAGTCATGCGGAAACGACATTCCTTATCAGAGCATTAAATGCGGATGAGAGCACATTTAATGTGGAGGAGGGAAACGAGCCGTCGCTCAATTATTTCAACAGAAGGAAGTGACGATTTGATTTCTCGAAGCATGACGGTTACTCTTTCTCGTTGATTGATGACACGTGGTCGCGATCAATGGCGAGAGATGATTTCCGTCCAAATGTCGCTTGGTTTCGGGAAAACTAAGTGTCATTTCCTTCACTATAAAATCTCAAGCTCTCCTCAAGCAATCTCACAATACTCACTTTTTTAGAAAGAGCAAGAAGCTTTCGTGAGACCAAATTGTCCATCTCTCAGATTGGTGCGCACTTGACGTTTCACAGCAGGAAGTTCAATCTTTATATTCAGTTTTGTTATTTTCCTTTTTATGTGTTGACGATAACCATGCGATAACGGTGGGCGTTTGCAGGTGGTTTGATCGGAGAGTAAGCTTTCCCCTAAGGTTCGACTCTTTAGGGGTGATTCCCCTAGGTTTCTTAGGGTTTTCTAGGGTTCAAGGAAGACAATATTTATCGTTTCTTCCATGTCATAGTACAAAAATTTGTATGACGATTGAGTGATCCCTGCGTGTCGCTCTTTTTTAGATCGCAAAAGAAATCGACCCTTCAGCGACCCAGACAGACAAGGGAACGAGCTCGCCGGTGCAAGACGCCCCAGCAGGTCCCTCACAAGAAATCTTGTCAATAGCCACAACAGAGGAAATTCAAAAAGTGGTAGACCAATACGCAATTAGTGTAGATGTCTACCAACATAGGACCTATACAACTCGGAATCCGCCAGAGGGAATGGCTGCGATCTCCGAGAACATATTCAAATGCAGAGCGTTGATTCCCTTCCATCCCTTCATAAGGTCGGTCATCGATCACTTCGGGGTCGCACCGTTACAACTGACGCCAAATGCGTATATGACAGTCGTGGCTATGTATATCGCATGCGGCGAGAACGGTCTCGGCGAGCTGATCGTGCTAGAGCTTGGCTGCTCGTATTACTTGAAGAAGAGTAAAGACAAATACTCTTTTTACCTCTCGAAGCGATCAACGATCGAGGGAGGGATGCACAGTTACCCCAGCAACGTCGAGGCGTATGAGATGAAATTTTTCTTTTTTCATTACGATGGCATTTGCCAGTTTAGGGAGCCAAGCATGTCTTCCTTTCTTTTACTTGGCGAATTTTCCTTCTTTGAATCTTTGCTAATGAACTTTTTTGATTCTTTGTAGTAAATAAGACGACCAGGTTGTTGGCTCTCACTGACTTCAATCGAATAACTGCCTTTGGTCTTCTACCCGAACAGAGTCGTGACGCGAGGCTGCTTGTGACAACCGCAAACTTGCGAAAATACGACTTCTTCAACCCCAAAGCGACCTTAGAATCCTTACTGAGTAAGTATCCGTATCCTTAGCCAACTTTTTTGTTTGCATACAGCGAACTGTTTTGCTAACGATGTTCACATGCAGCAACCATGCCACCGAAGGTACCCAAGTCGCTGAGAGCCAGGCAGTTTGCCTTTTCCTGGGTCGGTGCCATGAGACCAGCTGGGGCAGCCCCCATCGGTCCCCCCGTCGGAGGAACGTCAGCGGGGGTGCCGGCTCGAGTAGCAGATGCTCCGCAACCTGCGACTACCTGACCTAAGCAGAAAATCGTGGCCCAGAAATCGAAGAAGAGGAAGCAGCTTTGGGTCGAGCAGTCAAAGTCCGAGTCAAAGGGCTTGGGCATTCAGCCCGGAAGGTTGTAGCCTTACCAGGCCTTTCGCTCAGAAGGGCACGACCGACATTTTCATTGCTGCTAAGGATCCACAAAGGGAGTAAGGGGAGGTCGCGGATCCTGGGAGGGGAGTGGGCAAGGAATCAGCGGGTGAGACGCTACCTGTTGCGGGCACGGGTACACCCGTGCTAGACTCTATGGGGTAACTCCCGAAACATTTGCAGCTAGTGATGTTTACCCTGCTAGAGTGCCAGCTCGCAGAGGCATTTGAGTAGTTCGTGGCCTCTAACCCCATAAACCTGATGACCATGGCGTTTCAGCATTAAAGCCAGGTAAAAAAGGGTTTGTCCTCGTCGAGGACTTTCTTACATTTCCTTACTTTTTTTTAATGAAAAGGAATTTAACCCCTTGCTCTCTTCGCTACGTAGTCCCTGCTCGCCATGCACCTGGCTAAACAGAAGACTCAGTCGGGGGCCGCTGAGGGGCTTGTCGAGCTGAGAGAAGAGAACGTGTGGCTGAAGCAGGACTTGGAAGCCATACAGGTAGAGAAGAACTTATCCACCGTTCAGACGAACCAATATCTGTTTGAGAGGAATGATGTGCTTCGCACGGTGGATTTCCAGAAGGCCGAGTTGGAGAAGAGGGGAGAGGAGGTTAAAGAGCTCCAAAGGACAGCGGCTAGACCTACCAAGGAGGCTGGCGAGAAAGAGCTGGAGCTACGAGAGAACTCCGAGCGGGCCTTGCGAGCAGAACAGGACAAAGCACAGCTATGGGAAGCCACCGAGAAGCAGAGGTGGGCACTCAAGGCAGAACTTCAATTGTCTCAGGGTCGTGTCGCTTCGCTAACCGAAGAGATGAAGTGACAAGAGCTGGAGATTGAGAGGAAGGTTGTCGACTAGTCGATCTAGTCCATCTATGCCCTTTGGCCAAAGAATCCCAATATAGACCTCACTGACCTCCTGGACGACTATCAGAGGATCATCGCTTCCATGGCGCAAGCCGATGATGAGGAGGAAGGTCAAGGGCCTAATTCGGAGGACAAGCATTCAGAGGAGTACGTCCCGTAGGATCCAGCGGCTGACCAGGTGATTGGCGACCAACCTAGAGATACTGAGGTCGCACCTCCGGGGCTTGGGGATGAAGGCCAGTGATGGTTTCTGCTTTTCATTGTTGTTTTCGTGCTCGCGAATTTGTACTTGCTTTTTTAATTTTCAATTAATAAAGAAATTATTTCCTTAACCATTCATGAGTACTTATAATTTTTCATACCTCACAAACGTTACACATGTGGACACGAGGTCGCTTTCTAACCATTTACAATAGTATTTGTACAAATGATATATGCGAATAGAATTGGCACACATGCCAAAAACGATATTACGAAAGAACTTATCTTATTTACAAGACTTTAAAAAAAAAAGTCTTTACAAGAAAATTAGAAAATGAGTTCGGAATTACTGATAATATGGGCGAAGATGTTCAGTATTCCAAGCTCACGGTACTTCGGAACCATTCAGCCTTTTAAGATGATAAATCCCTGGTCTTATCACTTTAGCGATGCGGTATGGGCCTTCCCAATTCAGACCAAATACTCCCGTAATTAGTTCTCTTGTACCGAGAAGAACTTCTTTCAGAATAAGGTCACCGATTTGGAAGTCTCTTCTTCTAACCTTAGAGGCGAAGAATCTTTTTGCGCGCTATTGGTAGGCTGCTATCCTCAGCTGAGTCTTGCTACGATGCTCTTCAACTAAATCCAAACTTGCGTGGATAAACGCCTCATTTTCTATTTCATTGAACAGGTCTCTCCAAAGTGAACTAGTTCCTACCTCCATAGGGATCATCGTCTCATAGTCATATGCTAGCAAGAAAGATGTTTCTGAAGTAGAGGTTCTCGGAGTTGTCTTATATGCCCATAGGACTTTAGGGAGGTCATCGGCCTAATTACCTTAGGCAGCACCAAGTTTGGCTTTCAAAGTATGCTTGATGGTTTTGTTGACAGCTTCAACTTGGCCATTTGCTTGTGATCTTGTGACTGAGGCGAACTTTTTGTGGATTCCCAACTCATCGCAAAACTGCTTGAATTCCTCGTTATCAAACTGCTTCCCATTGTCAGAGATAAGTGTATGAGGAATTCCACAGCGACACACTATGCTTTTGAAGACAAAGTCCTTAAG